CCCCCCCCCCCCCCCCCGCATTCACCAGCTTCTGCCAGGTGGGGTGGGGGGTGATCTCTGCTGCCCCCACTGTGTGGCGGGGCTCTGCCATGAGCCCCCAGAGGCCCCAGCAGTCACCGCAGAAGCTAGTGAGTGCAGGGTGCTTTTTTCTTTTTTCTGTTTTTTTGTTTTTTTGTTTTTTTTAAGTGCCAGGATGCTGGGGCCAGGTGGGACAGACACTGATGGGGCTGAGAGTGGGCAGGGGTTCAGGGATGCTCAGAGGGGCTGGGGGAGCAGGCAGGGGATGGAACCTGGTGGAGGTTCCCCCATTGTCCCCTCCTGCAGCCTCCCTACCCCTCACCCCTTATTTACCAGCATGGGGTCTGAATCCAGGAATCTGATGTACTATTTAGTATGGAAAAAAGAAATAAGAAAATAAAAGGTAGAAGATTGTACTCAAAACTTAAAAACAAAACAAAAAGTTCAATCTGATCCTCCAATAATCCTTCCCCATAATAAAAAGGAAACAAGGACATTACATTTTCAAGTGCAACATATTTAAATATATACTGGGTGCATTTACATGTGCATTCAGGCACTTTCCCTAATGCGCATTAAATTTAGTACCTCCAGTGTGAAGTAATAAAGAAAGGTGCATTAGGCTGCCTTAATGCATAGTAATGACTGTGCGTGGTTTTTAAGTGACACTTAATGCACAGTAGCCTATTTTACTGTGCATTAGCATAATCATACAATTTTTTAAATGATACGTTAATGCACAGTAGAATAGGCTACTGCGCATTAAAGCCCACATGTAGGCATGCCCACTGACTTCTTATTAGCTTGGCAAACAATCAGTGATCAAAGACATCACTGTGTTATTACTAGTGTAACTGCAGATGTCAATCCATTTTTTAATATTTCTAAGGTAAAAATGTTATGTCCTGAAGCATCACCTGTCATTATGTCCACTTATAATGCCCTTTAGTAGTAGACTGTGCAATTTAGTATACCTAGAGCCTTATACCTTCCTCAACAGTGTCTGGCATTGGCCACTGTCCATCTGATCCAGAACAGCAATTCCTATAAACCTAAATCCACTCAGTGGGAAGCTATTTCATTCTTGAAAATTGAGAGATGGGGCAATAGTATTCCATAATAGATCACAATCAAAGCCAGTCTAAAAATCAAAGAAGTCTCAGTTGTTTTCAGATTTTCATCAATATTCAATGTTTCAAATTTTAGCAGTTCTAAATAGAATTGTAATTGGCTCTTTGACTGGAAGAAATAGGGGGAAATTTAGGAACATTTTTCACTGAAATATGAAAAAAAAAAAATGACCAGCTCGGCTCATTATATGCTATAGTCATGAAGGAAGTTATGACAGTGGCTCTCAATCTTTTTCGATTCCAGACACCCCTTAGAAAATGCCAGATCTTAGTTTTCACTCATTTCCTACTATGAAAAAATAACAGAACAACTCTTCTGTTGCAAAGAACTCAGAACAACCACAACAGGTCAGAATGTTTTTAGCACTTTGGATTCCTATATGGAATTGGTGGGTTTATCTTTTGAATTATGTTTGCATACCTGATTGTGCTAACATAGTGTAGCCCCCTATGGCAGCTTTGAAAAGTTTTCAGTATTCTTTGAAAATATTTCAGTATTTCAGTGCTCTCCAGGGTGCCATGGCAACCTGGTTGAGAATCACTAAGGCCATGTACAGACGGTCAAAAAGCCCAAGGCTGAATTGATTCAATCTTTGTAGATTAGTCTAAACTGCACAGATAAATAGATATGCAGTGAACAGACATTCACTTTTGATTCTGGAAATGCAGTCACATGCCTGCAGTGGCTCCAGCCAGAAGCCATGGGATGCTAGACCAAGCCTCCCTGTCTGGCTGAAGCAAACAGCTTGGGCCAAGGCTAGCCCACCCAGCCTGCATGGTGGCATTTGCAGGGGAGGTGCAAAGCATCCTGGGATGCTGGGGGGCTGTGAGTTGACTTGAATCTGGAGAGGATCTGGGTCAGAAGTTCAATAAACTAATTTAACAGAAATCAGTTAATTCTGATACTACATCCATCCAAGTTTATCTTAAATAGTTTTTGGAAATTTTGAAAGTAGTTTATGTGCACTGAACTTCTGTTGTGTTATGGACTTGAACTGGTTTCTGATTGCTTGTACCTATTTATGTTTAGTTTGTGTCCCTAGCGTAAGTTATGACTTCATTATCTTCCCGTTTCCCATCTTTTGCTTTTGAGAATATTTAGCTTTTAACCTTTCCTTCCTTTAATGAAGGATAAGGATTTTGAAGTTCATATTTACTTATTTCCTTTAAAGCTGCCCTTCCAGGGTGCCTCCTCCTAAAATCATATAGATTAGTAGCGTGCTCGGTATCTCTCAATGGGTACTCCAAACTGCTGGCTTGCTAAACTTTCAGCTGACCCAAAGCATGGTTAAGACCACGTGAATCTTCTAATTGATTCCCATGGGGTCTGCATATGACCACTAGAAAGCTAACAAGGGAGTGAAAACATCACTAGATAGGATTCATGATAGAAGGAAAACCCCTTATGATTTATCGGTTCTATAAAATTTCACAACTTTTCCCACTATTTAATCCAGCTGTCTCAATATGCAAACAGTCCCTTATCACCCTATCGTGCAACCACTTCCCAAGTATAAATAATAATAAACTTAATTTTAAAAACTCACTGGCAGTAACTGGTTTCCTTCAGGTCCAGACTATGGCATTGTTTGGGAGATCTGTGATATATTTAGTTCCTCTTTCCGTGCTGGCTTTGACGAATGTCACTGCAACAGGTAAGATTCACTGCTTAGCACACACCTTGTGTAGCTCAAGGCTTGTGGCAATGCCTTCTGGGACTTGCAGCCTCTCTGGTGCTTAGCACAACCTGTTTGAACTGACTGTAGGGAAAGAAGAAACTACATTTCCCATAATTGCTCTCAGCCTGCCCATGATTACACCTGAAACTAGGAGAGCTTGCGTAGTAGCTGGAGTTTCGCCTTCTAGAAAGAGAGGACGCATGTGCTCAGTGTAGAAAATATTCTTGACTTTTTGTTTTTTGTGCACCATGCTGCAGAACTATATGGAAGAGTAAAAAAGGGTGGGTTTTGGTAAAACTTTAGCTTTAAAATGATAGGAGTGAAAGGCAATAGTTGCTACGTCCAAAATAGAACAAACCTGTATAACTGGTTTTTGAATCTCTCATTCTTCTGTGAGGCAGAAAGAGGCTATTCATTGTGAGCTATGGGCGGCACCAAAATCTTTAGTCAACAACTGAGAAGGAAGTTCACAGATACTAAAGGAATGAGAACAGAGTTTTTCTAACTCCATGTGCTTCTGGAACCAACAGTTATGTTATCCAGGCATAACATATTTTATAGCTAGTTAGAACACATCAGCCACATACCTACACAATTGGAGCAAATCCTTATTCCCATGCAGAGCCCAATTACACAGTCTCTGCATAGGGGTTTTCATCATGAATCATGGAGGACATAATTCACCTACCTTTTTTGTAACGTGTGTTATATTGGCATGTGGGATCCCTGACTGAGAGCAAAGCCTCCTGTACTAGGAGGCTGTAGTTCTTGCCTCAAATAAATAGAAAAGATGTGTAATAGGGCAAGAAAGATAGACGCTGTCTGAGATGTTGACTATACCTCCCCCCAGAGGGAGGAGATGACAGATGTGGGTTTGACAGGTAGAAGAAGACTGGCCTCCCTCCTGAATGAGTGCAGTCACTGTTGTATTATTGGGAAGAAGTGACAGTGGAAGCACCTCATCCTGCTTCTTGTTCTTGTGAACAGTGTTTCAGTCCTTCAGTATTTTCCTTTAATGATAAATTCCTAAAATGGAAATAAGTTTGTTTTGTTTTGACAAGAAAAAAAACTAAAAATATATATTTTGGTTATGGACAACTTTTTCCAATTTTTGGTTCAGTGACCACACAGAAACATCAATTAGCCCCACAACCCTCTGTCCCAAGCCAGGCAACACAGGAAGTCTCTGGCATAATCTGTTGTGTTGAGCCTAGCCTTTCCTTTATTTGACCACTCTGAATCAGGAGAATGGAATTTCTGTTCCCACCAAGCCTCTTCCTTTTACCTGATCGAGGATTTTAGGTGGTAGCAGAGATCCATTAGCCATGTCCCCTCCATCAAATGTCCTCCACCAACTGTTACAGAGTCACAATGCACAGAAGCCCTGGGTATTCTGCCCATGTTCACTCAGCAGAACTTCATGAATTCCACTATATTCGGAGACTACTGAAATTGTTTTAAAAGGTTGGCAAACTCCCTCATTTAAGATGAAAGTATCTCCCTTCACCAGTGAGCAATTTTCCTGCGTCTCAGTGAGACAATTTAAAGTTTAATTTCTTTTTTTAATCAGATTCACTCTGATTGTCACTTCGAGACATAGCCATAAAAAGAAAAGGAATCTGTCCTTACTACACACATCACAATAGAGGTATCTTTGTCCTAAAACAGTGGGGGCCAACCTTTCTTGGCTGGTGTGCCACAAATTAACCCCACAGCTTTCCTGAGTACCACTCCATCCCTTTCCCTTATTTGCTCAGCTTTCAGCTTCCTGCCCTGTGCCCCCTGCCTGTTCTAATGCTCTGCTTTCTGCTCCCTGCCCAATCTGCCACTCTGCTACCTATCCCTTCCCCAGTCTGCTGCATAACACACAGAAGCTTCCTGTGTCAATTGTGACACCCTTGCACAGACTGGCCATCTCTGTCCTAAGAATCTTTCAGTTCTTCCATATATTAAAAAAAATCCTACTAAATCCAAGATAGCTTTTTTCTGTATATGAAAGGATGTTAAGTTTAGACCCTAAATTGTCTCTTTCCAGAAAAACAAATCAAATTATTTAATCAAACTAGTATATCTGTTTTTCAGTGTGTTAATAAATCCATCAAAATATATGAGAGCTGTAAATATCCAAACATACTTTACCCCATGGTGTTAGGATTGATCCTTAAATCTTGAAATTAAGCTGCAGAGAGAGGACTGAGGGGGAAAAAAGCATGCACATCAGTTCTACTTACAGCCTCAAAACAGGATGTAAGTAGTGTATAGGCTTTGTGTGGGCCCTCTGCACAGCAGTGAATGATTATTAGGTATGTACATATTTTTATCAATCCATTACAATGCCTGAATGGGCTCGTGTTTTTATATCATTGTGTGCTGGATGTTTACATTGCAGATGTCTCCGGTAGGTGTTTCAAAAGATTCCATATTCTTTGTACCTGTCTAAAAATAGATTTGACCAGTCAGCTCTTGTTTCCAGACATCACTGAAATCTATGCTCTCCCCAAACTATTTTTTTATTTTGAAAACCAGTCGATGAGACTCTCGTAGTTTTCCACAGTTTGACTCATTTTCTAAACAAAATCTTCCGTAAAGATTATTTCAGTTGTTAGCCCTAAGGAATGCTAAGTATTATGTAGGTAGCTAATAAGCTATTTTCTGTGTTTAATTAACCAAAGGGTTTGTGTACATGGGGAAACCCACATGTACACACAGACAAAAGCAATAGCAGATGGTCACTGATTTATTTGGCAGTGTATTTTTTCATAGTTTTGTTTGCTTCACTGCAGCTCAATTCAGTTCTCAGATAGGTTTATATAGTTCAATCACAGAGTTGCAGGGTGGATGTTTCAGAACAAAACTGGAATCTGTGGGCTTAATTCCAGCTCACATACCCTGAAAGTTGGGACCAAGCACATTTAACACTGAAGTGACAAGAACTGAACACTCAGCTCCCAGTTAGTTTCCTTCCCTTTATTTGGGAAAGCTGACAGCCACAGAAAAAGTAGAATGCAGTATTCCGCAATACCTATTCAGCAAGAGCTGTCTGTGGGGACACTAGCTTCCAGAAGAAAAGTAGCTGTATTCTGGAATAAATGTGCTACTTTGGAAGCACATCAATGCCACAAAGCCACATCCTCTGCTTTGCCTGACCATGCCAGCCCCCAGAAACTACCCCTGCCTTCTGCCAATCACACATGTGCAGTGGCAGCCATGCTTTTAATTATAGTATAGGCAATCGCTTTTTTTTTTTTATTTTAGACTACTTTAGAGCTAACAATAGAAGGCCAAAGAGATGTTTTGTTATGCCTGGAAACCTACCCCACCAACTTCAAGTGGTTTGTAACTAAAGGGAGAATACATTTTAGACAAGAGCTCATCTTTGTTATGATTCCCATCAGATGAGCACTAAAGAGTGGGAACTACTGTAGATTTTAGTTTTCTAACTTACTCAGCTGTTCCTAGCATTTATCTTTAGCTGTAAAATAAACAAATAAAAACATGTTGCCTCCAGCCAAGCATGACTTTAACAAAGTGGCTCAGCAAGCTCAAAGTCACATAATGGTTAGCTATGCAGCAATTTCCATGAAAAATATTTGTGGCCATTATGCCACTGTTTATTCATGCATATATAGGCAAAAACAGTAAGCACTGTAACTGCAGATATTTACCATGGGTAAAATATGTTTCTCTCATACAGTCCAAAACACATTTCTTCTCTCCCCAACTTACAAAAAAAATCTCTAAAAAAAGCCTATGGCAGAGAATGTTTTGTGCGCAGCCATGTTTTATTCATACATACTGAAGATGACGGCCAATAAAATAATATTTAGTAACCAAAACAGGTGAAGTGTTGAAAATCAGCCTTATGCCAGGTCTGTGCTAGAACATCTTTGCCAACATAGCTTTTTTGGCAAAAGAGTACTTTTGCTGGTATTAATTATTGTAAATACCCAAGCTAAATCTGCACCAAGAAAAACACTTTTTTGCCAGTATTCTTTCTACTCTAGGAGCTTTTGCCAGTTTCAAAACTTTGCCAAAAATCACATTCTTAAATTATACTATAATACTGGTAAAAGCTTCCATATTGACTTACCTATAGATAAACTCTACCCAGCCAGGCAAAAATACCTTTCTCGATGAACAGTATGTATGACCTATAAGCAACCACTTTACTTCATGCGTAGAAATGTCTCAGAAAAATAGTCTGCAGGATGAGCTGTTAAACTTTAGAAAGGCAGCTGTCAAAAACTGTTATACTTGTATTTTTTTTTTACATAAGTGTCCCTGAATATAATATACATCTTGTTTGTGAAAGGCAAAATGAAGACAAAAAAAAGATTTTTCCAGAGTTATGGTTGTATATAGAGCATAAGCAGAACTGTCCATAAAAACATGCCAGTAATGTAACATAAGAAGTGCCATACTAGATCAGAATAATGGCACATCTAGCCCAGTATCTTGTCTCTGGCTGTGAGAGAAGGGGACACTATACAGGTAGAGATCTTTAGCGTGATCTATCCCCCATTTGATACTCTCCCTGGTATCCACCATTTATTAGGTTAGAGTGCCAGAGAAACGATTTCCAGCTGTTCTGTTCAATAGCCATTAATAGATCCACCATCCATGAATTTATCCAGTCCTTTTTTGAACCTGACTATAGTATCTGCCTCCACCATTTCCTGTGGCAATAAATTCCACAAGTTAACTACATGTGGGGGAAAAAAATGTCTCTTGTTAGTGTTAAATTAATTTTTGACTAATTTCAGTGCATGCTTCTCTAGTTCTCAGTTCACATGATCCATGCCCTTCATGATTTTATAGACCTCTTGTCATATCCTCCCTCAACCTTCTCCTTTCCAAACTCAAGAGTTCTAGCCTTTTTAATCTTTCCTGCTATGACAGCTGCTTCAGGCATTGTGGTTGCCCTATTCTGTACCTTATCTAATTCTACTATATCCTTTTTGAAATGTGGGAACCAGAACTGCACACAATTTCCCCAGTATCTTCT